CCTCTCTTGAGATCTTTGCTCCCTCCCTGTGGGTTCCCTAACCTCCTGCATTCCTGGCATGGGGTTCGGGGACATACATTGGCTTCCGTGGCCAGCTGGATGGCAGTTTGAATGCAGGACCCTTTGGGGTCTCTGATTCAGAACCTCAGACCCTAAGGGTGAATGTGCTAGAACCATGCTTCAGAGGCCTGGGTTCAAATCCCAGCTCTGCTCTGCTTTCTGGTAGTGGGACTGTGGCCAGGCTTTCTAATCGCTCTGTGCCTTAGTTTCCCCATCTATAAAATGGGAGAACAGTGCTACTTCACAGCGCGGTAGGATTAAATGAGCTAATCTGTAGGTGACATGCTTAGCACGTGGTCAGCCCTCTGAGTGTTAACTAGCATCTTCTAGGCAGCTGGGTGTAACCTGGAGCTGGCCTGGCCTCCATGGAAAATAAGATAAAAGGCGAACCGACTCAAGAGGGTGAGAGAAGAAGGGAAAAAACCTCTCTCACTTATAAATGGCACTTGCTAATTTTTTGGGAACGGCCTTGTTGAGATATATCTCATATACCATACAATTCACTCATTTAAAGTGTATAATTCAACCGTTTTTAGTGTATTCACAGAATTATACAGTCATCACCATAATCAATTTTAGAACACTTTCATCACCTCAGAAAGAAACCCCACATCCTTAGCAGTCAGTCACTCCCCTTTCTCCTAGCCCCTGGGAACCTCTCATCCCTTCTTTGCTTCGATGGATTTGTCTGTTCTAGTTATTTCATGTAAATGGAATCATACAACATGTGACCTTTCGTGTTTGGCGTAATGAAATGGTTTCAGGGTTTCTTAATATTGTAGCAGGTATCGGTTCTTCATCCCTTTTTCGGCCAAATCGTATTCCATTGTGTGACTAGACCACATTTTGTTATTCAGTTGATGAGCATTTGGGTGGTTTCCACTTTTTTTTGGCTCTTGTGAATAGTGCTGCCATGAACATTTGCGTGCCAGTTTTGATGTAGATGTGTGTTTTCATTTCTCTTGGGCAGGTAGCAAGGAGTGGAATTGTGGGGTCTTATGGCAACTTTAATTTTTTGAGGAACTTCCAGACTGTTTTCTAAAGCAGGTGCACCATTTTACATTCCTGCCAGTAGTGTGCGAGGGTTCTGAGTTCTCCACATCCTCGCCAGCAATTGTTATGGCCTGTCTTTTTTATTATAGCCATCCAAGTGGATGGAAAGTGACATCACACTGTAGTTTGGGACACTTGGCATTTTAAATTAATCTGTTAAGTGCCTGCTGTATACTGGGAGCCCTGCAAGATTGCCGCATGGGGTTGTTAACGGCTTGGACTTGGGACCTACCTGAGTTAGGATTCTGTCTCTGACATGTCATTACTGTGTGACTTTGTGAAAGTTACTGAACCTCTCTGGTCTTCAGTTTCCACATCTGTAATGTGGGGATGATAAATAATGATTATCCATTGGGCCAACCTCTACCTCGAAAGGTTGTAATGAAGATTTAGTAGGAAGTGGGTGGAGAGCCTGGCATGTAAAAAGTAAATAAATATGGGCTCATACTATTATGGTGATTATGATTGTTGTATGGGCTCATGTGATTTTTATAGCCCCTCTATGAGTAGCTGTTAGCCCAGTATTTGATCATGTGGCGTCTAGAGCAAGACTGCCCAAGGAGAGAGTCCTGGCTCCACATTCACAAGCTGTGTGACCCTGGGCAAGTGCCTTGACATCTCTGAGCCTTGGTTTCCTCACCTATAAAGGGGCATACAAACCTCTCCTGGGGACTCGGGGTGAGGATGCTGTTGGGGCAATGCCTGCGAACCTGTCTGATGTCTGTAAGTGTCAAATTATCGTGATGCTCTGTGGTCATCCCCAGTTGATGGATGGAGAAACCGAGGCACATTAAGTAAGGTGCTTGCCTTAGACAGTCCAAATTGTAAAGAGCCCAACGAAACTTGGAACTTACGCCCATCTGACAGCAGGCTTCCGCTGAGCCCTTTTTTGTTTTCCACTAGCAGTCCAGTTCCCCAGGGCTGGCTGTCTCCCCGCCTCCACCCTACCCCGTGTCCCCTTCTTGGCACTGGGCTTTGAAGGACCCCAGCCAGGATGGGGTCCAGAAGGCGCTTTCTGTCACCTGCCGCAACCAGCAAAGGGGCTGGACTGGGAGTACTCTAGACACATGATCAGACAGGGACCTGAGAGGGACGAAGGCCCCCACCTAACCCACAGTGCAGATTCCTGATGGTGGCCCAAACAGTCGTAGGCTAAATATATGGGTTGAGACTCGCTGCATCTGGGTGCAGCAGGCCAAGCTGAGGATCAGTGGCTGGGGTGGGGCTCAGGGACCCGGAAGCGCTCATGTTCCCCAGGTGGTCTGCCCAGCCAGGCAATGGGAGCAATGGGGGTTGGCCCATAACCCAGGAACAAGCCCTTACCCCTCTTTACCCAGTTCCTCCATCCACAGTATCCTCTTTTGAACATTTCTAGCGACTCCACTGAATACCAGCTTTCTCCACTGCAGGACTTCTCAGAGCCTTTACTGGCTCAGGAACTTATTGAGGGGTTGGTTGAGTTTTCCTAACTGCCTTGACTGATGAAGGCTTCATTCTAGGAGTGACTTAAAGGACTGGGATTCCTAGGACCCCAACTTTGGGGAAGGCTGCCTCCTTAGTTGCCTTTGCAGAGGTTGTGGCCTGAGTCTTGTTTCCCCCTACTTCCTGTGTGTCCAGGCGTGGTACAGCCAAGGTTGGGACATGGACGGACAGCCTCATAGCTTCTGTTTGCTGTACCATCTCTGCCCTCCACTCCCACCCCTGGCTTCCCCCGATACCTGCAGTGTTGGACCTCAAACTCTGGCGGGTACCAGGGTCCCCTGGGGAACATGTAAAAACAACGGCACTAATAATACAGCTTACTGGGCCTAGCTCTAGAGATCTGCATTTAGAGGGTCTGGGTTATACCTGGGAATCTGAAGGTTTCATGCCACAGTAGTTGGGTCCCAGGCCTTGATTTGAGGAATTTTACTCTGAAAAGCTGGCAGCCCCCCTCTGCTTGAGGGTCAAAAGCCTGCCCTGGCCCACCCAAAGGGACACATCTAGGACCTGTCTTTCGTGGCTTCTCCTCGTTGGAGCCTTCCGCCCGCAAACCCAACTCCTCCTCGTCCTGTAGAACCCAGCCACCACTGCCTCCTCCAGGAAGTCTTCACTGTTCATCCCCCTCCCCACCCAGCTGGTCAGGGGGCTCCTCTGGGTAAACCTAGCCCCTATCCTATGCTTGCCTCAGTCTTATACTATTTCTGTAAATTATTTCCTCCCTGTCTAAAGGATGAATTCTCAGAGGGTGAGGCTGTGTCTGTGTGTGGTGCTGGGGTTGGCACACAGTAGGTGCTTAATGAGTGCAGGTGGAATGAAACTTCTGGGTGCTTGGCTGCTGAGGCCCCACCATGTAGTTGATACAGAAGTGTTTTCGATGGAGTTTGGGTGACTGAACATTAATTTTGACCATCTGGCTGGCTGGGTGACATTGGCCAAGTTGCTGTCCCTCTCTGGTCTTTGTTTTTTCCTTTGTTTCGAGAAAACAAGAACAAAGGTAGGACTGGACAGCAATCAGTAAGGCTCCTTAACAATAATCACGAACCTTTGTGAGATTTACTAGAAGCCCGGCTCTTTGCCCGTATAACCTCATTCCTATGTGTCACACCCACTGAGAAAGGTAATTATTCCATCTGACAGTGGAAGCAGAGACACAGAGAGGTACAGCAGCTTGGCCAAGTCACATAGCCAGAACCCTAACTCTAGGGCTAAAAGGTCTTCGATACCACAGTGGTGTTTGCCAGAGTGGTCTGTGATGCGATTTCAGAGGAGGCCATGTGTGACGGGAGAGAACACTGAAGCACTGAGTGAGAAAGCTGTTCTGATTTTACGTCTCTCAGACGCTCTGACAACATCCAAGAGAAAGTTTCGGCTTGGCGCTGATATGGCTCTTATTAGTGATACATGCCTAGCTCTGCTTTTAAGCAAGGGAAGATTGAGCTTTGTCTTGATGTGTGCAGGTGACCAAGCGTTCAACTAGAACCTAATGCCGTCATTTTATTTCCATGGAATTTATTTTGGTGGTTTCTCCCATTTATGGCAAGGGTTTCTGGTTTTCTGTTTACAATGTGAAACTCAAATTCCCCTTTTAAGTACGTTTATTTAAAGAGTATGTAGATTGAAAGAAAAAGATCAGGTATTTAACAATAAGGGTGCTTGCACAAAAACTTGTACCCGAATGTTGATAGCAGCATGATTCGTAATGGCTAAAAGGTGGACAAAACCCAAATGTTCATCCACTGATGACTGGATACACAAAATGTGGTCTATCCAGGCAAGGGAATATTATGCAGCCATATAAAAGGATGGAGCACTGACACAGGCTACATCAGGTTGAACCGTGAATACATTATGCTAAGTGAAAGCCAATCATAAAAGGCCACATATTATATGACTCCATTTATATGAAATGTCCAGAGTCTGCAAATCCATCGACATGGAAAGTAGATTGGTGGTAGCCAGGGGCTGGAAGCAGGGGCAATGGGAATGACTTCTAAAGGGTGCAGGGTTTCTTTTTGGGGCGATGAGAATGTTCTGGAATTAGATAGCGATGATGGTTGTGTAACCTTGTGAACATATTAAAAAGCACTGAATTATGCTTCAGAAGAGTGAATTTTATAGTATGTGTAGAATTGTATCTCAATAAGAAATATGGAAAAAAGGGCAAAGAGTCTTAGAGTGAATGACCAGAGTCGGGGCTGATTCCTCCCGCCCAGGTGCTGTCTTGTTTCTGTGGCTTTGTGATGTTGCGGGGGGAGGGGTGGGCAGCCAAGCTGCATCCGAGGCTCGCTGGGCAATTTCTGCTCAGAGCCTGGGGCTGGGGACTGCCTGGAAGGCCAGGGCACTGGTGGGGACACGGCCTCTGCCTGCCAGGCTCTCAGCTAAACTTCGCCTTTTCCTGTCTGCAGCATCTCTAACAAGGAGCTGTCAGAGCTGATCGATCAGCTTCAGAAGAATGCCGACCAGGTGGAGAAGAACATCGTGGACACAGAGGCCAAGATGCAGAGCGTGAGTGCCCCTCACCTCCCACCCAGGTGCCCCTCTGAGCTGCCAACCCCACTCTGGGACCAAGGTCCTATTTGACCCAGTGGTTCTCATCTAGGGTCATTCTGCCCCCTAGGGGGATAAGTTAGTACATCTGGAAACATTTTTAGCTGTCACAACTTGGGGAGTGCAGTGGACAGGTGTCTAGTGGGTAGAGGCCAGGGATTCTGCTGAACGCCCTACAGTGCACTGGATGCCCGTCCTTCCTCCCCCCGCTACCCAGAGAGATCCAGCCCCAAATGTTAACAATGTCAAGGCAGAGAAACAGAGGAGGAACCTCTGTTATGGCCGGTAACACCAGCGCCCAACCCTAGGTACCAAGTTTCTGCAGCTTACGGCCTACCTGGAGGAGAACCACAGTCTCAGGAGGCAGGCCCTGGTTAGGATCTCAGCTTTGCCACTTACTATGTGACCTTGGGCAAGTCACCTTACCTCTCTGTGCACGTGATTCCCTCTGAAAGGGTAAAGGCCATCATCCCCATCACTTGGGCTGCTCGCTGTAGCAGCCCAAGTGATGGGGATGATGCAGGTGCAGTACGGGGCTCAGTATCTTATCAGTGTTGTCTCTCTTCTCATACGGCCACTGCCACTAAGATATGTGTGAGCCTCCTCCCTTTTCAGAGGAGAGGAATCACTTTCCTTCTCTGTGCCTCAGTTTCCTTTTCCTCTTCGGCAGCATGGGGATAACAACCACCCTGAGCTGTAGGTTCTCCTGAGGCTTCTGTACCATGTGGGATGCCGGAGTCTCCACCAGCCCAGTTTCAGCCCAGTATAAACTCACCAGTGGTTGAGTTTATACCCATTTCACAGCTGGAGAAACTGAGGTTCAGAGAGGGCCAGGATGACTAGTCAGTGACAGAGCTGTCTCCCAAAGCATCCTGGAAGTGGGGTTGCCAGATTGAGCAAATAAAAATACAGGATATCCAGTTAAATTTGAATTTCAGAACACAAATACAATTTTTTTTGGGTGTAAGTATGTCCCGTGTACTATTTGGGATATACTTATACTATAAAATTATCCACTGCTTATTTGAAATTCAAATTTAACTAGGTGGACAGGTCCCAAAGGAGTTCAAGTTCTGGCTGGTCCCAGTGCTGTCCCCAGGCACTGCAAGAGGAGCGTAGCTGCTCCTCCCTCTGACCACCCAGGTGTCCACCCACCTGAGGGCCAGTCCACAGGCAGCCCAGAGACCTGGGGGATGGCACAGCTAGGGGTGGAGAATGGGGCAGGAAAGGCAGGTGGGAACTCTGTGCCCTGCCAGGGCCGCTCCTCTCTACGCCTTCCTTGCCCTCACCTGTCCGGCCACCTCCTGCCTTTCCCACCTCAGCACCCACCCCGCCAGCCCCTTTCCCTCCGGCCTCACCCCACCTCATGCTCTTTTTTTCACTCCCTTCTGTCATGGCTGCTGTGGTGGTGTGTGCTTTCCTAAATGAAAACAGCTTTCTGGGGTGTGTCCTTTTTTCTGCTAATAAAAGTAATATGTGTTCGTTATGAACATTTCAGGACCGATAAACAAGTCTAATGAAGCAAATTAAAATCATGCACAATACCACCACCAGAGAGATCTGTCCGCTATTAACATTTTGGTGTAGCTGACCTTTTCGTGTGTGCGTGTGCGTGTGTGTGTGTGTGTGTGTGTGTGTGTGTGTGTGAGAGAGAGAGAGAGAGAGAGAGAGAGAGAGAGAGAGAGAGAGAAAATAGGGTCTCGCTTTCTTGTTTTATTTGCTTAGAGAAATGACTCAAAAGTAACAACGATGTATTTGGGAGATAATTTTTGACTTTTTTTAACTTCAAATGAATAAACTCAAAAAAGATCAGGATTTGAAGACTTCAGGGACTAATCTTTCTTTTTCTTTCTTTTTCCTTCCTTCCTCCCTCCCGCCCTTCCTTCCTTCCTTTCTTCTTTTTTTTTAGAAGGAAACATCATTAATTTTATTGCTCAGAAGTTCTCTAGAATTTTCCTATATTTTTAATTGAAGTGAGATTCGCATAACATAAAGTTAACCATTTAAAGTGAACATTTTAGTACACTTAGTACATTCACAGTGTCATGCGACCACCACCTCTACTTAGTTCCAAGTTATTCTCATCCCCCTCAAAGGGGAACCCCACATCCATTAACACTCACTCCCCATTCCCCCTCCTCCCAGACCCTGGCAACCACCACTCTGCTTTCTCTCTATATGGATTTACTTATTCCAGATATTTCACATAAACAGAATCATACAATATGTGACCTTTTGTGTCTATCCAAAATTTTAAACATGCAGAAAAGTTGAAAGAATTGCACGAGTCCATCCATATTCCTACCACCCAGATTCCACCTGTAACATCTGCTGAATTTGCTGTCACTCACCTGTCCATCAGTGTATGTGTAATTTATTATTAGAGCTATCAGTCCCTACGATTTTTTTCTTTTACACTTAAAAATCTTTTAATAGAGGTGTAACTTACATAAGGTATATAGAAAGCATCTAAATTTTGAGAGTTCAGCTCCGTGAGTTTTTGCATCAGTAGCTACCCGTGTAATCACTGCTCAGGTCAAGATAGAGAATATCTCCTGGAAAGCTCTTGACCTTCCCAACTGTATCCCCCGGAGGTAACCACCATGCTAACCTCTATCGCCATCCATTAGTTTTCCCTGACTTTGAACTCTTGAACCTACCATGGCGTCTCTCAGCTAGATGTTCCTTTCTTGTCTCAGCCAGCATGTTCTGAGAAGGCTCGCATGACTTAGGTAATGATTAATTTACTTCCTCCTTTTGCAGAATTAATCTTTGACAATATAACTGCCCAGGAGAGAGCTTCAGATCAGCTGGTGATGAGGGAGTGGATAAAATTCCACCCAAGCCAAGAACCGTGATGTTTCGTTGTAGTTTTTTAACAGGCCAGACCCACCCCGGGGTGGGAAGATGGCCCAGCCTCACGGGCCTTCTGATACTTGGGCCTCACGTCCAAGCCGCACTTGCCCCTGGCCATCCCGGAGGTGGTGGGGAAAGAGGGCTGGACCCATGTTTTTACCCTGTACCGTCACCTCCGTTCGATTCTTTTGTCTTTTGCCATGTCTTCCTTTCTTTTCCTTTTTTAATAGCTTCATCAAAGCTTATTTTAGACATCAGAAAGTGCTCCCACTTCTAGTGTGCAATGCACTGATTTTGAGTCGCTTCACCGAGTGGCACAGCCACTTCCATAAATTGGTTTCTGGCCGTTTTCGTCCCCTGGCGAGATCTCTTGTGCCCATTTACTGTTGATTTCTGTTCCCACCCCAGGCCCTCCAACCATTCATCTTCCCTCTGTCTGTGGATCAGTCGACTCAGGACAGTTCACATAAATAGAATCCTGCATGACGACGTGGCCTTTGGTGTCTGGCTTTTCTCACTTCACTGTTTCCGAAGCTCTTCGTGATCAGTAGTCCCATCTTTTTTCTGCTGCGTGAGATTCCTAGCTCACTGTGATGCCTCTTCTGAAGCAGGTGTTTTCCTTATTCCCGTTGCAGAGATGGGGACACTAAGACCCAGCGATGGGGGGAACCGGCCTCCTCGAGGCCTCCATGTTACCCCGGTCTGCCCTCTCAGCCCAGTCACTGACTCGTCACCGCCTCCCCTGCTGGCCTGGGGTCCCCAGGGCCTGGCACAGAGCCCAGCCAGGCTTCATGACTATTGACCAAATGAATTAACGGGCTATGTTTAGAAACCTGACTGCCAATTCATCGTTCTTCCCTAAACAAGCAGAGGCCCTGGACTCAGCGACTTATCAGTTTTTCCTCCCAGATGTCCACCCACTCTGTTCATTCTCACCGTTTCTGCTGGCACTATCCCAGTGGGGGCCACCTCAGCCCTCACCGGGGTGCTGTTGTAACTGCTGACTGCTCTCCCAGCTTGTACCTTCTCGCTGCAGAGCCCCTCGAGGAATAGCCTTTAAGGATAGGCAAGGCCATGTTACTTCCCTCCGAAGAGCCATTCCACGCTGTGATCTACCCTGCCTCCCTCTCTCACTGCCCCTGACATCCTGCCTTCCAGCCATGGTGGCTTCAATCACAGCTTGCCCTTTCCTGCCTCAGGGCCTTTGCACAGGCTGTTCCCTCTGCTTCGAACACTCTTCCCTTGAGTCCATCATTCTTACTTTGTGTCATTGCCTCAGAAGGGCCTCCCTGACCACTGGAATTAAAACAGGTCCCCCTCGTTCCACTTCTGGTGTATTTCCTTGGTAAACACTGACTTATATGAACTTATAGTCACCTCTGTGAGGTTAATGTGTTGACGTGCCTTTCCGGTGGTCTGGACTGTGTCCCAGAGCCCCCCACAAATTGGCACGTGGGCTCTGTTTGCTGAGTGGCGGGAGAAGAGGGTAGGCGAGGCCGAGGAGCCCCTCCCTGGCTTCTCGATTCTTGGCCCCCCCATCCACACAGTGCCCACTCAGTCCCCATCTGCTGTCCCCCCTCTCTCGTGACTCTCACAGGACCTGGTCCGGCTGCAGGAGGGCCGGCAGCCTGAGCACCAGGACACGGCCCTGCAGAAGGTGTCAGACTCAGAGAAGTTGCTGTACGTGCTGGAGGCGGACGCAGCCATCGCCAAGCACATGAAGCATCCCCAGGGGGACATGATTGCCGAGGAGTAGGTCCCTTCTGCTTTGGGTCTTGGGGAGCCACTCTGGGCCAGGGCAGGAGGGCCACAGCCCACTCTACATTCAGGATCCCAGTCTGGGTTTATTGAGGGCTAATTAGATGCCAGGCGCATGCCCAGTTCTGATCACGGTGTGACCACAGCTTCCTGACCACCATGATGTCTGACCTCCAGGCTTTTGAGGACACTTTCCCACTGTCTGATGCCCAGCCAGCTCATGGTCCTCACCTTAGCTCTGATGTGGATAAATCAATACCCAAGACATCTCCCCTGTTCTCCCACTCCCCTTAGCAGGGGCAAGGGTCTCTCGGTGCCCCACGGCTCCCTGTGCTGGTCCCTGTCATGGCCCATACCACGCCTGTGGCCCCTGTTGGACCATGGGCTCCAGAGAGCAGTGGACCTGCCTGTTTCTTCCCAAACCTCTCCCAGTTTTGGGTACACAGTCAGCCCTGGGGAAGCGTTGATGGAGGAAGGAAGGATGAAGGACAGTGGACAGGAGGAAGGTTTGAGTGTTTGTCTGGAACCCAAGGCCCCTGTCATCCTGTCCTTCTGGGACACTGGGCAGAAAGCCTGAGGCCAGGGTCAGGAGTGCGCAGGCAGTGCCCCTGCCAACTAGCTCACTAACCAGGGCGGCCGCTCTCCACACTCAGCATCCGCCAGCTGAAGGAGCGTGTGACCAACCTCCGCGGGAAACACAAGCAGATCTACAACCTGGCGGCTAAGGAGGTGGACCCGCAAGTCAACTGGGCAGCACTGGTGGAGGAAAAGCTGGTACGGCCCAGGCGCCAGCTGGGGAGAGGGAGCCGTGTGGGTGCGGGGAAAACCCCACCATTTAATGTCACCACAGTCCTGCTCGGAGGGAGTCATGTTCTTGATATTTTCTGATGTTCGTGTCAATTGAGGAGCAAGGCTCAGAGAGGCGTAGCACCTCGTCTAGAGTCACACAGTAGAAGTGGTGGCAGTCGGGACCCTCCTGGGGTTGCCTTCCTATCCTAGCTCACTGGGATCCTGGCAAGCTGTGGGCAGCGGCCGGATTTCTGGCCAGCTACCACTCTTCCCATACCCTCTCCAGCTCGTCTCCACTGCAGAGAGGCAGGGCGTCTGTAGCCTAAAGTCCTCTTTTAGTGGTGTGGCCCTGGGCAAGTGACTCCCCCTGGCTGAACCTCGGTTTCCCCATCTGTGAAATGGACACAGTAACCATGTGGGCCTCTGAGGTTGCTGTGAGATTAAATGAGATGACAGCCTCTCCCCGCATGCCTGATGGGGCCACTCCGCTCGCTCACTCCATGGCCGGCCCCGTGAGGAGCAGAGCCAAGGCCCACAGGGTGGGCTGCAAGTCCCCCGCCCTGTCCCACACCCCGTGCATGTTGTTGTCTCCATCTGCGCCTCCCAGGACAAGCTGAACAGCCAAAGCTTCGGGACGGACCTGCCGCTGGTGGACCACCAGGTGGAGCAGCACAACATCTTCCACAATGAGGTCAAGGCCATAGTCAAGGCCATCGGGCCCCACCTGGCCAAGGTGGGCACCGTGGCGGAGGGGACTGTGGAAGGAGGGGGTCACGTGTGCACTGCTGCCCTAACCCATGCTCTTGGCTCTGTCCCCAGGAACAGAGCAGCGAACTCCAGGCCAAGTACCAGAAACTGCTGGTGAGAACCTGGCGGGAGGGGCTGGGAAGCCGGCGTGGGGACGGGAAGTGTGTGCAGTAAACTTTTCAAACAGAATGGAGGGAGATGACGTGGGAAGAGATGGTACCCCGAGCCTCTGCCTTAGAGGCACCTCAGTTTGCCCTGTGCTCACAAAAACCCTAGAAGACCCCATTCATCTATTGGGATACAACCTGTCCTGCAGGTTGCTTCTTATTTCTTTAGTAAACATATTCTGTGTGCCAAGTACGATGCCATATGTTTTATAAACAAGTTTTTAATTTCCCTTTTTAAAACCTTTAAAGAGTACGTTCTCCTTAGAACCACATAAGTGCTGCACAAGTGCTTTCTCATGGTTTCAAACACCTTGGAGGTGGGAATGAGGGGTGGTGGAGCACAGCCGTTGACAGGCTCTGCAGCTGCCCTGTCTCCACCTCCGGTGGGTGGGGAGACTTTGAACGGGAGACTTTGAACGAGTTGTTTAGCCTCTGGGCACCTCCGTTTCCTCATCCGCAAAGTGAAATTACCGCAAGTCCCTGTCGCACAGGATTGCTTTGTGGACTGAATTAGTTAACGTTGGAGGCGTCCTGAGCACAGTTCTGGCACGTGGTGGCCCTGCGTATGTGTTAGCTGCTGTTTTTATTTGCCTAGGAAAATGCAGACATCCCCCTTCTCCTCTCCGTCCTCCCTGCCCCACCCCCCACCTCTTCTCAGAAGTAAAGCCCTAGTGGGTTATGACTGTCCACCTATACAACGACATGACAGAGACAAAAGTGGAATTTGTGGTTGCTGACGTTTATTGAACACCAACTATATGTCAGTCTGTGCCTTATGAGATTAGTGCCGTCGCCATCCCCATTGTGCAGATGAGTAAACTGAGGCTCTACCGAAACGTCAATTCCGTGAGGCTTCTGGCTGTTTTGTTCACTGCTGTATCCCCAGTGCCTGGAGTGATGCTCAGCAGCACTTAGTAGGTGCTCGGTAAATGTTTGCTGAATGAATGAGTGAGTTTTGAGAGGTCAGCGACTTACGTAAGGCCGGTGGGCAGAGCCTGGTGCTGCACGAGGCGTGAAGGGAGGCCTCAGCCCCGCCTCCCGCCCGCAGGCAGCGTCGCAGGCGCGGCAGCAGCACCTGAGCTCGCTGCAGGACTACATGCAGCGCTGCACCAACGAGCTGTACTGGCTGGACCAGCAGGCCAAGGGCCGCATGCAGTACGACTGGAGTGACCGGAACCTCAACTACCCCAGCCGCCGGCGCCAGTACGAGGTGGGCGCTGGAGCCTGGGAGATAGAGGCAGGGTCCCGGGAGGGAGCGTGAGACTGCCGGGCGGGGCGCTGAGCCCCGCTCCACTGTCCGTCCCACTCCCTGCAGAATTTCATCAACCGGAACCTGGAGGCCAAAGAGGAGCGAATCAACAAGCTGCACAGCGAGGGTGACCAGCTGCTAGCCGCTGAGCATCCGGGGAGAAACTCCATTGAGGTGTGTGTGTACCAGGAGGAGGAGTCGCCTCCTCCAGGGTGGCCTCAGGGCAGCTTCTGCTGTGGGCCACCTGGACATGGGCAGCCCCCATTATCTTGATCCTTTGCCACATCCCACCTGCCCTCGGCCCCTGGACTTCGAGAGCCCATGTGGTGCCTGTATCAGTGTCGTAGGGCTGTTGTAACAAATGACCACAAACTGGGTGGCTTTAAACAACAAATTTATTTTCTCCTAAGAGAGGAGGCCGGAAGTGTAAGATCGAGGTATCGGCAGGCTTATTCCCCTGAAGGCTCTAGAGGAGGACCCTTCCTTGCCTCTCTCCCTGCTCTTGGTGGTTGCTGGCTGTCCTTGGCAGTCCTGGGCTTGGGGCTGCATCACTGCTACCTCTGCCTGTGGTCACATGGCCTTTCCCCTGTGTGTCTCCTCTTTTGACAAGGACAATAGTCATTGGCTTTAGGACCCACCCTAAATCCAGGATGATTTCATCCTGAGATCCTTAACCAGTTACATCTGCAAAGGCCCAATTTCCAAATCAAGTCACATTCTGAGTTCTGGGTGGACATGAATTCGGGGAGAGAGGGATACCATTCAATTCCCTACAATGCCTTTGTGATGATTTAAAAGCACCACTTTGGGCAGACACAGTCCCTACTTGTCTCTTGTGCAGTGTGCAACCCAAGCACCTGTACATGGCAGTTCTGTGTAGCTCCTTGACGTGTCCACTCTGTCCTCTTCCCACCCCCGGGCCGGAGCTGGCTGCCTCTGTGGGACCCACGCCCAGGCAGATGCCAAGTGCTCTCTATCTATCCCACCATTGTCTGTCCTGGAATCCTGCCATCCCTCCCTTGGTGTCCCAGGCAGCTGCCCAGTGGTGACCTGTCCCCTTCTCCTGACAGGCTCACATGGAGGCCGTGCACGCAGATTGGAAGGAGTACCTGAACCTGCTCATATGCGAGGAGAGCCACTTGAAGTACATGGAAGACTACCACCAGGTACCTGGGCCCCAGGGCCCCATCGCTGGGAGCATTCAGTGCCTACTTGGCTCACTTGTGGCCTCAGTGCCACTTCCTCCAGGAGCCTCGCAGGACTGCCTTCCTGGGCCTCCCACTGCTCACGCTTGTGATGCATGCACAGGTGTGCCCCGAGCTTGCCCGGCCCTTGTCCGTCTTGCCTGGGGGCCAGGTCAGTGTGGAGCCCAGGAATGAGTATGCGGGGTTTTGGT